CTCCCGCTGCTCGCCAGCCCCGTGGGAGGGGGCTGTGTGGCCACTTACCACCTAGCAGATCGCTTACATCCCGTTTTCCTCTGGCCGTAACGCAACCCCGCACTTAACGCGCGAGAGCCGAGAACGAAACACGCTCCGGGACGCCCACGCTGGGCTCCCCCCGCACAGACACCCCCGGCCCCTAAATCATCTCCACTGGCAGCAGACTCACCGAGGGTCGGATGTTTAAAATGCACTAAAAGCGATTGACTGTGGCACACGTAGGACGTTATTAGTTGTTAACAGCACAGTTAAACAATTAGCAAGGCCAGCCCAGGGAGGAGCATCGATGCTTACAAGCGGGGAGAAGGGCTCTGCCCTCAGCTGACAGCCAAGCCCGTTGGCATGGGGTGGACGGTGGCCACAGGTCCTCACCCAGCTGGCCAGTTCTCCCAGTTTAACTCTTGTGTTGGAGATGGATAATGAGATACAGGTCACACAGAAAGCATTTCTTTACCGAGAGGGTGATCACACCCTGAACAGGCTTCCTGGAGAGTGTTGCGTGCCTCAAGCCTCTCTGTTTAAGAGGCATGTGGACAATGCCCCTTGTAATCTGCTTTAAATTCTGGTCAGCCCTGAAGTGGCTGCTGTAGGTCCCTTCCACCTGAACTATTCTGTTCTGTTCCTGTTCTAATTCTACTCCTATTTTATTCCTATGGTCTGACAGCCATCATCTTTATTCATACCATTTTTAACTTCAGAAGTAAAAAGGCTCACTCCTCATAGAGCCCTTTGGCCTTTGCAAATACCACCAAGCCCCTCCGCCCTTGGGCACCTACTCCAGACGCTGCATCCGCAGGGGTGTGCTTGGCTGCAAAGACCTGCTGCGCGGCAAGGAGCTGGCTTCAGCCCCCGCGCTCGGTGCCTGAGACCTCCTTCTAGGCCACGAACAGGAATCCTTCAGGCAGCACAGGAAAAGCCCAACACCCCGTACCCTGCCTGCAGCAGCCCCCACGCTTCCCGCTCCCAGCGCGGGCTGGCGGCAGAGCTGAGCGCGGCTCGAGGGGACCACCCGCAACACGTCAGCAGCGTCAATGCCGCCATGCCTGGGGCCGAGCTGGTGTCAAACGGCAGTCCTCGGAATCGTTACAGGAGCTGCAGGTCAACCTGTCTACACGTAGGTAACAGAATTAAAAAACGTTAACTATCTCAATTAGCGCATTAAAAAGGTCCGTGTAACACGGTGCGTAACGGAACACACCACCTCACGTGTGCAAGGCGTCTGCAGGAGCAAGGCCAGGCAATTCCTGGCCGTTCCGTAGGATCACCGACTCCAGAGTCAGTGCAACTCTTTAGAAGAGAACTAAATTAAGGCAAAACGCATCCTATTTCCTGCAGGAAGCTACTCGGGACCGGAGGGAAGGCAGGCAGCCCCAGGCTTGCCCCCGAGGGGTGCAGACCCACAGAACACCGCTTGGTTCCCCCCAGCCCCTGCTCAGCCCCACAGCACCAGCCCCACAGCACCCACCGCTGCACCACCCGAATCCTCAGTCGCTGAACTGCACAGACCCATTGCAGAGAGCAAAAAGTACACCCGGTGTTGGTTCTGCGTTTGCCGGCGCTGTTCCCAGTCGGGGAACCAGGGAGCTCTGGTACCGGTAAGACGTCCCCACTGCTGCTTCCACCAGCATCTACCAACGGCTGAAGGCTCGTCCTCCTCCCGCCCCAGGGTAGCTTCTGCCCAAGGAGCCGGGTTCCAGCCTCCCCGGGGCAATGGCAGGGCTTTAAATGGGCCATGAAGAAAATACCTGCTCCAGGTGAAGTACACACAGGTCACACTAGCCAAACGCTTTCACCATAACTTCTGGAAAAAGCCAATGCACCACCTCACATTTAGGCCAATGAACTAGTTAATTTGCCGTACTTTTACATCCCAATTTTAGTCACATTTGTGTAGATAGCTTGTCACACTTTGCCTGCCCACGAAAACATTTTGCTGGCATAGTTACACTGAGAAGTCATTACGCTCGCAGTATGTGGTGCTTTGGCGAAATCTCCCAAGCGCATTTATTTTTGTTGATGGTGTTTATTCCGTGCCAGTGACCAGGTTATGCTAGAAAAGTGAAGCTGCTGCAAAGGAGGCCAATTGGTGCCTTGAACATCCACCAGAAGAAGAGGCTGGATAATGTTTTTAGAACAGACAAGCTCTGACGTGCAGGGCAGGACGGGGCACAAACCCCCGGAGAGCTGACACCAGCACAGCCGCTCCTCTCTAGCCGGTTTGACTTCGGAAGAAGAGAGGAAGACCGATTGCCATCATCTGCACAGAACACGGCTCCGCTGCTATAAACCGCATCTACACCCGGAGTGCAGAGCTGTTAACACCGCTCATGCAGACACGAGATCAAAAATGCTCAGGGCGAGCCTGCTTTAAACAGCGCGTGTCAGGCACTGGGGGCAACAGATGAGCATTCAGAGACAGCAGACTATAAGGGCGTGCTCAGACAAAAAGGCTCTCCTGGTATCAACCAAGGTATAAATTTATAACTCCTCACGCTACGTCAGTATGAGCCAAAAAAAAAAGAAGAAAAAGAAAAAGAAAAAAAAGTAATTTATTCTCTGCTACGAGGAGCTGAGATACAGGCACCGTCGATCATCTTGTATTTCAAACCCTGCGAGCACCTGGGGCTGGTCTTTCCCTTCTTTGAACAACTGCCCCTGCTATTTCTGTCTTATTTGCATCTTATTAACCATCTCGCATTTAAACATGGACATCTGAAGCAGCTGCACAAAATAAAAAAGACAAAAGCGTTACTCTGATCAAGTGCGGTATCCCCCAACAGTGGCAGCGTGTAAAGGTTGTGTTTTCCTTCTCCGTCTTTCAGGAGCACATCATGTAGTCTGCTAGCTCAATCATTTTATTTGGGCATAGGAAAACTTTTATTTACAACATGTTAATTAAAAAAATATTTGACAAAAAAGGCATACAGTATTTTATACTAAAAGAATAAAGATTTTTATTAAGCACTGTAAGTTGCATTCAATAGCCTTCAAATACACCACACCACAATCCATCTACAACCAATCAAACCCAACAGTAGTTCATTCTTGCACAATCCATGAGTTGGGGCAGAACTCCCTTCAACTTACATTAAGATACCTACTTAGCTCTTGCGGGCAGGGAATGGGGAATTACACCTCATTTCTGATCACTAATGTGTGATGAAGAGCATCAGGAGAATTATATGAAAACGAATATAAAGAAATGATTCTGATTTTGAAGTACATTAAGTTTGGAAACACTAACAAAAACATCAAAATGATACAGGTATATTTGCTTATACTAAATTCTTGATGGGAAAGTTCTCAAGAACAAGCCATTTGTTTCCTGCTACAGAAGGGGGGTACTTTTTTTTTTTTTTGAAGATCAAAGCTTTTTTATTTGTTTTTCACAGAATTTCATATTTGCTAATATGAAGGCATAAAACAGCAACAGAGAACAATAATGCATACAGCAATGAGTACACCAGGGTAACGTTGATATTCAAAACGGCTAGATAATTTTTTTTTTTTAAGTTTTAGAATAAATGCAACAGAGGTCAATAATCACAAAATTTTAAGGTTAGAGCAAGATCAGTCAATGACTAAACATAGTTAACATCTTTTATAGGACTATTACTGATTATTAGCTTTTTGTTTTGCAAATGGGCACAGTACTTGTAAGAATGGAAGAAAGAGGACAATAACATGCATAATATTAACTACACACTTTAAAAATTATGAACCATGCAGAAGTTTAGCTCAAATAGTAGTACTAATGGTCTACGTCTGATTCAAAACCACATAGTTCATTGATCACGGATGCATGGTATTAGTCACAAAAAGTTTCAGAACACATTGTGTTTATTTTGAAAGGTCATTTGCATCTTCTATGATTTCAAGTTTATCTCCATTTAACTTGCTTGTAAAGTATGTATGATGTATATTTAAAATCAGCAGAACTGCAATATTACTCTATAATTTTTAGTTTCGATAGTTTGCACATTTTAACACAAAAGAACCACATCAACGGTGATGAAATTTAAGAAAGAAAAAACTGTGGTTGTGCCTTTTTCCCCCCATAACCATGAAATCAAAGCCTTAAAGAAAGCTTTATTGTGACACAGTAATGCAAAATCAAATATAATGGCATACATATGGTGCCAAGTACTAAAAATTATATTTTAAGCTATATATACTTAAAGACTGCCAAAATTTGTTTTCTTTATATTTCAAAAAACAAAACTACAAGCTTTTGTCATAACCAGTTTAAACTTTATGTATACTTCATTTTAAGTGCGGGAGTCAAATGCTCTTCATTCTCTTTCTTTTTTGTTTTATTGTAGCATTTTGACTACAACTGGTTAAAACTAAAAATGTGTTGTTTAAATCTCTGACATCAAAGAGGGATCCGAATTTCCAAAGTCCTCATTTTTCTCTTACGGAAAGGAAAAAATGTACGTAACTGTAGGCTCTCTTTCTTTCCAGATATTCCTAATCCTGACCCTTCCCAACATCCTTCACCCTCTATAAAAAATAAGTTTACTCTTCTTTTTTTAAGACAGTGGCCTCAAGAGTATCATCTTTATGGCAAACACTGTCTGCATTTAGTGCATTTAAGTGAGGATTTGTATTGCACATTTTAGAGTCATTACTCAAGGCACTTTCAGACTGATTGGAAGCCCTGATGTCTCCTGTATTCCCATTCATCTGGGAAGCTGGTTTTTCCTCATTCACAACTCCATTTTCAGCCAGGGATCCATCTGAAGACACAATTGAGGATTTAGATTCCTCTGATTTTGACTTAAGTTCTTTGGCTACTTCTTCTGCTGAAGCAGCATAAGGAGGTTTGCCCTATTTTTTGAAAAAAGAAGAAAATTACTGAAGAACCACTGCTATATATTTACAATCTGTTACATTACCTATTAATAGGCAGCATGCAGTGTGCAGAAGTATCACAAGCGAATACCCAGTATTATGTACTGCTGAAATAAGAAGTGGCACACAAAATAAACAGCACCGCACAGATGAGGAAGACTTTTCAGTACTTCTGAGTGACTCCTAGCCAGGTCCCTGATGCTCCTGTGGTAAAACGCCCTTTCTAACTTTGATGCTTCAGTTATTTCACAATCTAAGAGCTACGTAAATGTCTGGGAACACCAAAACTGAGAATCAATATACAGCTTAACTCTGCTTCTTGGTTCATATACATTATAATTTAATGATATGATTACATGTTATTCAAATACAAACCAAAACTTTTTTCAGACAATTTTTAAAGAAGTGCACAAGTACCATGCAATATTATCTATACTAGGCTATACACTTCTGAGATTAAGAAAGTGACTTCATACGCAAAAGCATATAGTAGGATCTTACAAGACTGAGTATAGCAATAAAAAAAGATTTATGCAGCATTAGAACGTATATTTAGTTTTTAAGTACCTGCAACAACGAATCTTAGCCTTCCAAAAACATAATAGGTTTTAAATAACAACACAAAGTAAGTAGGTTGGGTTGCTAAGCAGCAACTAACTTATCTGTCACGCTGCTAACAAAGTCAAGTACTAAGAAATGACTTAAGATACGGACATCTTATACACCTCAAACAATAGAAAACAGTTTCATAGTGTAATAATTTTAATTTTGACATATTAGAAACAGCATGGTTAGTAGTTTGAGTTCCTGAAAGATTCTGCAGGTAAGAACTGTTGTTCTCTAGCATCAGGATCACAAACCTCGTTTTCCAGAAAATCACAAAAAATTCTGCAGTAACGTTGCATAGGTATATGACTGGCATATGAGGACAATGAATACGTATCACATGTGTAAATGTACTTCTTTACAGGCTAATTGTTAAGTTTTAGATTAAATACATGCTTTTGTTTCTTTCCAGAGCAAGAGCGAAAGGTCTCATCTTGTGAAAAAATAGGCATGTCTTATATTTAATAAATACAAATTGCTCATTTCAGTCAGATTCTCCAACCTTTGTTCATATTGCCTCAAAATGAAGATAAATAAAGCCACCGCGGGGAGGATCTTACTTGGTGTAAATACGCATGTCTGAGTCTGGCCCTGCATAGGCACCCTTTCCTTCACCGCCCAGGTTTGTAAGACAGGGAAGTATGCTCTTGCCAGTTAATCTCAACTGGGTATCAAAATCTACTTGTTATGCATTAAGTTTCCCAAGTTCTCCCTGCCACATGCATTGGAATTATTTTAGACCAACATCCTTGTGATCACAAGTATTTACCATCCAAATTACGTATCATTAATAAAAGTATGGATACCCAAACTTGCTGACTGTCTGTCCATACTATCCACCACCCACCTACAGGTACTATCTGAACTACATTTACTTATGTAAACCTGTAGTAAGCCCAGAATATTTGGGAGCTCCTTCTCAGGGCTTCCTTTCTTTCATAAAGTACTTGGAAATTAGATACTATATAATTAACATAGTGGTTTCTCTTCTATTTAAAGTAACAGAAGTAAAGCTTTAAATACATATGTACATTTGTAGACATATATAATCTGTATAAACAGAAGTTTAACAAGGAAGAGACGTATTTGAATTTTAACACCTAGAACACAGCAAGTTTTGCTTGAAGTTAATAGTTGCTTCATTATCCACTGGAGAACATCCCTTCTCTTACTGTCTGATACCTGCAAACACCGCCCTACTCTTATAAAGCAGTATCTCCATGACAAATTGCAGATCCATATGATCTATTTATTGTGAAAGTTCTCCACCTATTTACTACCCACTCATCCATTACCGCTGGGACTTGCATCAACATTCAAAACTGCATAGCAGCAAGAACAATGGAAAAGGGAGGAAAACATAACTCTGAAGCAACTGGCATTTAATATGAAACAGCAGTTTGCTTCAGCTATATTGAAAGGATCCATGGAAAAGACAAAACCCATGATCCAGAGACGCTTTATACACTGGCACCAAAAATGAAACTGTGTGCTCACTGGGGGCGAAGACTGGTCTGTTATCTCCTAGATGTTTATACTAAGTTCTTCTATTTGGAGTCATGCAGCAGCAAAGATCCTTCTACTGCTACTATTTTTCCTTCATGAGGTTGGACCGTGCTCCCAGAAAAGAAACTGGGAAAGACTGGGGGTGGGAACAGAAATGGCTAATTTGTTTCAGCTTTGCATTTCTCCCATTTTCATAAATTTTCTTCTACTCCCACAGCTGGTTAGAGCTGTGTAGGCACAGCCTTCATATCAAAATACATTGTTCCATGTCTGTCTTTCTAACCAAAGTTTGCTTATAATTGATATGCAACACTAGCCTGTCATCCATCTCTGGGTGTGCAGCTTACAACCTCAACACGTAGGCAAGATCGCTGTAAGAAACATTTTTATCTTTTAAAAGTTGTGCTTGTCAATATTGGCTGGTCTGGAAGTCCATACCATACTAGCCTGTAAACTAGAGTGTTTTGAAGTCAGGCACATGGCTTTATTACCTGAATTGCTCCCTGGCTTTTATAACCTCTCCCATAGTACCTTCCGCCTCTTCCAAAAGTTCTTATCACTGGAGTGGAAATAACTCCTCTAGGACGCCTGTAAGTTTTGAGGAAAAGGAAGAAAGAAAAATACATATCAGTTTTGTTTAAAATGACTTTGAATTTTATTTTGCTGGCAGATTTTTT